GGCCATGGTAGAGACAACACCATCTTAGCTATAGAAGAAATTAAACCAGCTCGTGGGATGCTGAAAACGTAGAAATAGAAAAAAAACACAGGAATATGATAGGAATGAATGTGCAAAACGGAGGATTCGAATAACATAAAATTTCTTACACTCGGTTCATAGGAATAAGAAAAATACATGAGTCCACACAGTCAAATCATGTGAAAAGTATAATTAGGATGTTATTATGCCACTGAAGACTCTGATCTCATATTTCTTGCGTAAAAATTCTAAAAGGAGGTCCAAGCCGATTGTAAAATTCATGCGTTTTTCCTTTGAAAGTGAGATCAAAGGACATTTTCCTCTACTTTTCCTTTGTTTCATCTCTTTGAACCGAACAAACGAGTAGTGCTGCTAAAGGAATTTTTTCTATTTCTATATACTTTTTTTGAATTTTACATGAATCCAAGATGCCCTAGAAGGTGCCCTCAGTCAAGCTAAATGACACATGCATGTGTGTTAGCAATTCTCTGATCGTAGCCATCTTATTTTAACTACTATGGATGCATACCTTAATCTCTGAAGTTGCATTCACGCCAGCCTGCTCCTCTTTTGCCTTGGTATATCGGTCTATCACAGCTTTCATGCTGACACAGTGACATGCAAACAAGCAAAACAAAATAGATCCGTCAGTGTTTCCTTTTCTGCACTTGCAGCTACAATAGTAAGACATTTAATCTGTTAGATATGACTTAATTCTCTACACTGTTACAAACTATCATCCCACATCTTTTTAATGCATGGTATACTAAGATTTACGTTCTAAGTTGAAGAATGGTAACTTGGTGCCTGGTCTCCGTGTGTATGCACAGAAGAAGTAAGAATCATATGTGACTTAAGATGTTCACAGTTTAAGTGATTATTTTCTTACATTAAACTGCAGTATTGGAGTTATTCATGATTTGCTCTTTCACTTCATGAGATGGGATTATTGATCTCCCATAGATTAATCTATGAACTTTACTTCAGAAACATATAAAAGGGACGAGCTGTACTGTATGATCCAATTAATCCATGTCATCTAAATTATACTAGATGATACCCGCAGGTTGTTGTGGAAATATTTTGCAATACATTTCAATGCAATTTTATTGTATGGAGCATGAATAATTGAAGTAACAATATGATAACTAAAACTGAAAATACATATGATTTATTGTGTTATGCTATTGCATAGTTGCAAAATATCTTGCATAATAGAAAGGAAATTCTCATGCATATTTGCATACTGAGTTTTTTTATGCATTGTTGCATGTTGTGATGGAGTGTTTTTTTATACATGTTGGTGTGGGAACAATGTGATTTAAAACCCACTTAGGTGCATTAATGCATGTTGCATGGTAGAGGATTCACATCCGTGCAACAATTTGGATGATGTAGAAGCACGCATGTTGAGATAATTAGAGTAGTGGAGATCACTCTCTTAGGGATATAGGATAGAATATGGAACACTGCAGAATATAATAACTCATGCACTAATTACCCTCTTAAGCACACATTTAGCTATCTTAAATTTGACCATATGATTCTCTTTTAGCGTCTTAGTATTTCAACTATAACATTATTTATGTCCTATAGACTGCACTATTACAGTACATATGTCACTACCTATTTAGTAAGATACAATATTCTCCTCTCATTTGTTTGTGTCAAAAAAAGGAATATAGTTTGTATAAAATGTGCATTGCACGCACATGCATGGCTGCTAGTTTATAACCATTAATTTTCTTTTATACCAATAGTATTATCATGACCAATATGCCTCTAATTCTAAGGAGCAGAAAAAAAACCCAGGTTTAGAAGAAATACAAAAAATATTTTGTTATTCAAGATAGTTGTAAATGAGCCATAGTAAGTTCGATGGGGAACTTTAACAAATTTGCACACCCTAAAAAAATGATCTTGCGGGTAAGGTTTTTGTTACAATTACGGCTCTTGGATCTTTTCTTTTTGTGAAAGGAATGCTGGAAGGGAAGCCCCACGAGTGATTTTTGTTTTTGAAAGAATAAGAATAAGAATCCGAATCCGCATCCACTCCCCTAACCAAGTGAGTTAGATTCACTTCTTGTACTCTCTCCATTTCTAAATATAAGTTCTTTTAGAGATTTCAGTATAGACTATATACGAATGTAACTTATTTTATAGTTAGATTCACTAATTTTTGCTTCGTATGTAGTCTATATTGAAATCTCTAAAATGACTTATACTTAGGAACGGAGGGAGTATATTGGATCCCATTCAATGACCTTTGTATTCCCTACTTTTTTCTCTCTCTCTCTCTCCATCTCTATTTGTGTGTGTGTGCGCGCGAGTGTGTCTACCCTAGAAGCCGGCCTTCACCCCAATCTTGGCATCGTCGTGGCCATCCCGCGGCTCTGCTACTTGCCACCTACAGATCCACCGCCGCAGTCCTCCTCATTGACCCGTCAATCCAATATTGGCCCACTAGTCACGTCCCTTGTTGCGCCACCTCACAAGTCCCAACAAATTCTAAGGTACCAACACCCTTCATTTTAAGCCTAGGGTGCATGAGTGCATTCTCCGGCTTCGGTGACCCCACCATGAATACCTAACCCACGAGCAAAGTCATTGTCCTCGGATTCGTTGACTATGACCTCTATGGCGAAGCCGTGGATCTCGGCTTCGCCTTTGTCTTAGCTCACGTTACTGGGGATCTCTTAGATCAGAAGGTGCTCTGGCGACCATGCCTTCTATCAAACCCGATGAAGAAGGGGATCAAGAAGGAACAACTTTTTTTAGAGAAGGGGTAACCCTGGCTCCTGCATCATACGATGCGCACAACCATAGAAGCAATAGTTGGAACACGCCGACTAGATTTTAAGAAAATTCTAGGCAACTGCAACTCAAGCAAAATCGTTGAAAAATTGACTGTAGTGGTAAAGAGAGAGGTATACCTCAACCGATCTATATACACATCTAGTAATATGACATAACTAGCTAGCGAGAAGAAGTTCCTCTCTTATTTTTCGAAAAAAAGAAAGAGAGCGAGAAGAGCATGGGACTATGGGAGGCAGGCGGCGCTAGTACAGAAAACGGTCAGAAGATAACCTAATTAACCAAAAGCGATCAGAGTATCCGCATAGCACATGAGAGGTATATTATGTGAAACGAATTAATTACTTGGTGCTGGAGAACTCGTGGAGCCTGCCGGTGCTGGAGAAGACGACGAGGCCGACCTCCGCATCGCAGAGGATGGAGAGCTCCTTGGCCTTCTTCAGCAGCCCGCCCCGCCGCTTCGAGAAGGTCACCTGCCTGTTCGTCGAGTTGTCGATCCTCCTTATCACTATCTTCCCCCTCCCCATCTTTGTCAGATCTAACAGCTAGCAGGCAGAAAACCTAGATCAAGTTAGAGAACACCATGAAGAAGGCAAGTAGATATATAGAACACCGACCAGAACCAGTGATAGATACATAGGGAAGTACCGGACTCAGAAGAAGAAGAAGAAGAAGAAGAAGAAGAAGAAGAAGAAGTGTATGGGGGCTGGTCTTATGTGGGGAAGGTAGAGCTTCTGATATTCGTCTAACTAGTTGTACCTAGTACCTAAGAGAAGGAGAAAGCAAAGCGCTGCTTAGGTTTTATATATGCAGGAATGGAGGCAACAGTGGCTGAAATAGCACTCATTCTGTACACCAAGCTACTCACTGGGCCCGGGCAGGTTACCTCAAGTAGGTTGTGCTTAATGGCACCTGGCTACAGCTAGCGTGTTTCTTTTTTTTTTGGCGGAAAACAGCTAACGTGTTAGGCATCTCTAATGGGTACCCGCAAATTTTTCTCCTACACCCGTCCGCGGACAAAAGGAACTAATCCACACACGTATGCCGAAGAACGCCATCTAACAGTAGCCACATACATTTTGACAATAGTTTGAACTAACCGGATGCAATTCATGCAAACGGGCGAATTTTAATATAAACACATCGGATTTCATTTGAAATAGAATAATTTATACATAAAAGCGAACGATATTTCGTTTGCTAAACTAAAACCCTAAACTACTCTATACTTGACGGTGACCTCGTATGCCATGCTGGGCTGGCCGACGGTTCCTCCTCCGTCACTGTCACCCGCTCCGTCGTCGGAGTCAGGCTTCACGCAGCGAAAGGTGGCGGCGTCGTGGCAGGGCTTCCCGGCACCCGCCTGAAGCCCACAGATGATCCTCTCCGATCCGCTTCCTCCTGCATCATGCGCAGTGCGGCCACGGCCACCGACGACGTGGGCAGGGTGAGAGGCCAGCGGGCCGTGGAGAAGGCGGCATTGGCGGCAACAATCTTGGCGAGAGACCACTCCTCGCTGTACTTGGCCATCTCCCCATCGAGGCGGCGGAGATGACACTTGCTCGTTTCTGTCGTAGTCACATAGCGGTCCAGAGCTCAGGCGTACACCAGCTTCGGGTCCGCCGCGATGGGTGGCGGCAGGACGTCGGAGTCAGCGAATTCCAAACGGCGTGCCGCGTTGCGCCTGTCCCGCTGACGCCGCTCCCTGTTGTCATACTCCCGCGTCGTTATGGCGCTCCGAGACGACGAAGAGCTGTCGTTGCGCCGCCGCTAAGATAGTGCCGAAGGTGACCGCACTCTTAGGGAAAAGCCTAGCAGTAGCGCATGTCAAATGCCTAGCAATAGCGCGGGTTGCCGCGCTACTGCTACGGCACTACAACTAACTTTTAGCAGTAGTGCGTGTTGACCCGCGCTACTGCTATCCATAGGTAGCAGCAGCACATTTTATGAAACCCTGTTGTTGCTAATAGCTACAGCGCCTTAACTTACAGCTTGCTACTGCTAAACCCACGTTGCTGCTAAAAACATACCCCGCGCTACTGTTATTATTTTCCGATTTTTTTTTCTGGTGCATATTTCCTTTCTATTTATACATGTTTTATACAATAGTTTCTACAATATCATACACATGCAAAGAAGTAGTGAGGAAGAAGCGAAGTGAGGGAGAGAGAAGGGGGGAGGGAAAAGTGAAGGAAGAGAGGGGGGGAGGGGAGGGGGGAGGGATAGAAAAAGTGGTTGCTGCTGCGCCTTAGCAGCAACGCGGTAGGGAAAACACGCTACTGTTAAAGGGCTAGCAGTAGCGCGGTACTGCTAGACGCGTTTCTGCTATGTGGCGCCCGCCATGTGGCACGGTACAAACTTAGTTGCAACGATGGGTCTGTGGCACGCGCTACTGCAGACTTTTTAGCAGTAGCGCGCTTCCTGAGGGCCGCGTTGCTGCTATACATAGCCTGGTGGCTGATACGTCTCCGTCATATCTATAATTTTTGATTGTTCCATGCCAATATTCTACAATTTTCATATACTTTTGGCAACTTTTTATACTATTTTTGGGACTAACATATTGATCCAGTGCTCAGTGCCAGTTCCTGTTTGTTGCATGTTTTTTGTTTCGCAGAATATCCATATCAAACGGAGTCCAAACGGAATAAAAACTGACAGAGATTTTTTTTGGAATATATATGATTTTTGGGAAGAAAAATCCACGCGAGACGATGCTCGAGGGGCCCACGAGGCAGGGGGCGCGCCCCAGGGAGGCAGGCGCGCCCCAGACCCTCGTGGCCACCCTGTAAGGCGGTTGATGCCTTTCTTTCGCCGCAAGAAAGATAATATCCGGATAGAGATCGTGTTAAAATTTCAGCCCAATCGGAGTTACGGATCTCCGGGAATATAAAAAACGGTGAAAGGGAAAAATCTGAGAACGCAGAAATAGAGAGAGACAGAGAGACAGATCCAATCTCGGAGGGGCTCTCGCCCCTCCCTTGCCATGGAGGCCATGGACCAGAGGGGAAACCCTTCTCCCATCTAGGGAGGAGGTCAAGGAAGAAGAAGAAGGAGGGGGGCTCTCTCCCCCTCGCTTCCGGTGGCACCGGAGTGCCACCGGGGACCATCATCATCACCGCGATCTACACCAACACCTTCGCCATCTTCACCAACATCTTCATCACATTCCCCCCTCTATCTACAGCGGTCCGCTCTCCCGCAATCCGCTGTACCCTCTACTTGAACATGGTGCTTTATGCTTCATATTATTATCCAATAATGTGTTGCCATCCTATGATGTCTGAGTAGATTTTCGTTGTCATATTGGTGGTTGATGAATTGCTATGATTGATTTAATTTGCTTGTGGTTATGTTGCTGTCCTTTGGTGCCCATCATATGAGAGCGCGCGTGGATCACACCATAGGGTTAGTTGTATGCTAATAGGATTATGTATTGGAGGGCAAGAGTGACAGAAGCTTCAACCTAGCATAGAAATTGATGCATACATGATTGAAGGGGGACCAATATATCTTAATGCTATGGTTGGGTTTTACCTTAATGAATGTTAGTAGTTGCGGATGCTTGCTAATAGTTCCAATCATAAGTGCATAGAATTCCAAGTCAGGGATGACATGATAGCAGTGGCCTCTCCCACATAATACTTGTTATCGGTCTAGTAAAGTAGTCAATTGCTTAGGGGCAATTTCACAACTTTTACCACCACTTTTCCACACTTGCTATATTTACTTTACTGTTTCTTTATCTAAACAGCCCCTACCTTTTATTTACGTAATCTTTATTATCTTGCAAACCTATCCAACAATACCTACAAAGTACTTCTAGTTTCATACTTGTTCAACGTCAAGCGTGCGTAGAGTTGTATCGGTGGTCGATAGAACTTGAGGGAATATTTGTTCTACCTTTAGCTCCTTGTTGGGTTCGACACTCTTACTTATCGAAAACTGTTGCAATCCCCTATACTTGTGGGTTATCAGTGGCTAAGGTGTGGTTCTCATACCTGTAGCGCGTTTCGGCGGCGCCGCGCTACTACTAAGGAGATAGCAGTAGTGTCCTTGTACTACGCGTGCTACTGTAAAGTAGCAGTAGCGCCCTGAACAAAGGCGCACTAATGATAATCCTTCACTTATAAGGTTTTCCCTAGTAGTGTCGTGTGCTTTTGCGATCGCATTGGGCACGGGCGACGGCGAGCGGCGCTCCGCCTTGACGCGCCGGGGTGGAGAGAGCCGCTCCTCCTTCACACGTTGCGTGGCGGAGAGAGCCGCTCCTCCTTCATGCGCATTGGCAACGGCGAGATGTGATCTTCCTTCACGCGGCGTCCGATCTGGATGCCGAGGTTGCACGACAGAGAGCGCGGAGGGGATGCCGGCTCCATCTTTATGGGGAGGAGCGTCCCCGGTGGCAGAGCCGGGCCGTTGAGGTGGAGCATGGAGCGATGAAGCATCAGCTCCATCTGCTCCTCGTACTCCACGTCGATGACGGTGTACACCTGGCCCGCCACCGCCGGCATGGACCGCGGCGGCTGGTCCTCCTCATCGCTGGAGGATATGATGATCTCCACCTTCATCGAGGAGCCGCCTGCTGATGAGGACGACGGCCCCGGAGTTTGAGGGCCGCATCGCCATGATCCGCCAGAGCCCGTCCCAGAACCGCCGCCTGCTGGCGCCGACGCCTAGGACTTGCCCATTGCCGGAGATGTGGAGGAAGATGGGCAGGGAGAGGGCAGGAGGAGGAGAATAGATTGTGATGTGGACGGCGCAGCGCGACTTATATAGCAGTGACCAGGCCTTGTGAAAGGGCCGGTCAACTGCTTCAATGTGGCGCAGTGGCCGGAGTTGATTCCTCGGAAACTTGCGTCCGCATTGAAGCGGCGGCTCCCGAGAGGTTGTGTCGGTCAGTACCGCTCTCCCTCCCTCCGGTCACATCGTGGCATCAATGACGGCCGCTGCGTGCTCTGGGCCGGCATGAATGCGGCGCGTGCATCGGAAGGAAAGCGCAGAGTGACGGGTGGTTTTTTTATGGGTCAGAGTGGTCAGAAGCGGACGTATGGACGGCCCGGACTCCTGCAAAGCCCCCCCTCCCCCCGCGCGCGCGTTTGTCTCTGGTTTGCAGGAGAAAGCGCGTCCAAACCGCGCCGCTGGCCGATACAGGACTGCGTTCGATGGCTTCAGTGGTCCGGACACCACGGTCCGGATGGATGCGGGGGGTTTGAGGGCCGACGTTGGAGATGCCTTTTTTTAAAACCCCACCATATATTAGTTAACTTAAAATTTCCGTGCAATCATTCATTACAAAATTTGTCACGCAGGGCGGAACAAAATTAAAAAGAATTCCATCAGACCTATTATCAAAACTAAATTTTGCAATCTCGTGAGCCATCATATTAGCCATCTGTAACTTCACCTGTAGCTTCGAGACATTGACCGTCTCCTTCTTTAGGTCAACAAGGGGCGACTAGTCAAAACATTCTCTTCCAAAAATAGAAGCAAAAAAAAAAACAATCAATTTCCAAAATGATGGGCATAT